ACAACGGTTAGAAATATCTGTCGGAATTTCGTCGGAGTATAAAACGGTCATAAATATCCCTCGGAATTCCGTCGGAATATTCCGATGAAATTCCGAGGGAAATGTAAAATCCTCGGAATTTTCGAATTTTTCCAACAGCTCGTCAACAGCTATAATTAATCCTCGAAATGTCCTCGGTATATCCCGACGGAATGTTGTTTCCTCGGAATTCCGTCGGAATATTCCGACGAAATTCCGAGGAAACATAAAATTTGTGTTTCATCGGAGTTCCATCAGAATTTTTCGAGGAATTGCATGGCCGTCGGAATGTTCCTCGGAATAAGCCATATTTTCTTGTAGTGATTAGAGTAATTATCAAACTGTAAGTCATAATAATTTTAAACATGTGATAATCCTAACAGGGTAAAACGCATATTTTATATAAAACGGAATTGTTTTTATTACAGATTTTCTTATTTTCTGACCATATACAAGTTGACAACTAGCTAGCCAAATTGGACATTCCTAGTCACATATACATTTTTTTATAGCAAGCGCATTGGAATATGCAAACGCAACCGCAGTCGCTTTCTCTCTCTCTATCTTCCTGTGGACGTTGGAAGGTGAGCAAAGAAAACGTCTACAAATAGACATATCGAGTTGGCAGCTTAGGGTTTTTGAAGAGAAACGAATTTGGGTTTGTTTTTGGGATTCTACAAAACTCAAAACTTTCTTCTTTCCTCTTTTCTTTTCTGTTGTCTTGTATTCCGAAAGCTGAATTGAGTTGGGTGAAGCAATTCTCAGGTCTGTCTGTCCTGTCTTTACTTCTACTTCTCATTAAGGAAAACACTTCTTGATCTCATCAAGTTCCCATCTTTGTACACATCTCTTCATTCAAAAACTCTACTTATATATATATATATAATATATGTATACATGTATATATATATGTATAGATCTCTCAGATTCCAAAGTTATAATAATTCTTTCATCATGGGTTGTTTCTTGCCCTTGCCTCTCTTCACAAACTTAATTTTCAGAATTACCAAAACAAAATGAAAAAAAAAAAAATCAATTTATTCTTCTGTTCAGATGCGTTTTCCAAGAAGTAAAAAATAGATCGATCATAAGAATTGTTTCGGTCATATCAGATTAAGATTAAATTTAGGTTATGTTTATTTTAAGTTTCTCGCATGTAGATCTCTGCAAGATTCTGTTTCCTTTCTTGTCAGCTAAAGTGAAGGGTTTTGGTCTGAAAATCTTCTAAATCTGCTGGATTTGTTTTCTTCATCTTCTTCTTGAAACTAAGCATAGTTTTGTCCTCTCTCTCCTTTATGTGTAATAATGTTTCCTTCTGTACTAACTTCAGTTTCATGTGCATCAGTGCCTTCTCAGTTCTCCTTCATATCTGTTTGTTTTCTTTAATTTCTCTCTCCATATTTACATTATTTTTATTGGTTTAATTCTTACTAATTTTCCTTGAAACAAAAATAAACATAAAGAACTCTTCATACAACACAGACTAGAGATCAATGATTTTGTAAAACCTTTCAAACGTATGTAAATCCTGCAAATCAAAAGTCAAATTACAAGTGTTTGTTTGCCGTTTGAGCCCGTGAAGCATTTCAGATGTTTATTGAAGAGAGAGAGAGAGAGAGACCCAATAGAAATAGAGTGCACAAGGGATGGGTCAAAATAATTTTTATCTGGTTGCAAAAATCATGTAATTAAATTCGTCAGATTTACCTTTTCATTTCTTGAAATAAAAAAAAAATTTATTTTGACGAGGGATTATATTTTACATCGATCTATATATATGTCTCTTATACATTATGAGTTTTAAAGAAACATATGGTATACACATGATTGTCATCCCTGGTAATGTTAATGTGTATATAGAGTAATAGTAAAAGATTTGACAAATTTATAAATTGTTGTTTTAGCTACATCAGATCCGCATCAAATCCATTCGATCTTTTTGTCTGTCCTTTAAATCAATCAAACAACATCCTTAATTTTATTTTCCCAAGAAAGTTGGGATAGGAAAAGAAAGCTCTTTTGTCCACTTAACGCATAAAAATGAGTTTGGTAAGTAGTATTAAATTATTTTAATTCCAACCCTAGATTTAGGGTTTTTGTATAGTGTTTTCACATTTTAATTCATACTTTTTTGCAGCATATCAATCATTTGTTTCTTTGTTGAACAGTACTCTATATTTCAATACTGTCCTAGTTGAGAAATTCTTAGTGTATATATATTTATGATAACTTATTTTAAAATCTTGTTGGTTTTGTTATTTCAAATGAAGGATGGGAAGAGGAAAGATAGAGATCAAGAGGATAGAGAACTCAACAAATCGACAAGTGACCTTCTGCAAAAGAAGAAATGGACTTCTGAAGAAGGCTTATGAACTTTCAGTCCTCTGTGATGCAGAGGTTGCCCTCATTGTCTTCTCAACTCGTGGCCGTCTCTATGAGTACGCGAACAACAAGTAAGCTATCTCTTTGTGTATATAAGTGTGAGATAATTAACTACAAGCATAATGATTTGCATCTGTAACAATTGCGTCAATTTTAGCCACAAAAACGAATATGACTTTTTTAGTTAATTAGCTTTTTGCTAAGCGTAAATGATGTAAATTTCACGATATTTGCATCGTTTTATGTATGTGTACTTTACTTTTTATATGCTGTCTTGAATTATCGATGTAACAGAGTTGAAATAAAATATAGAAATGCTGACATGATACTTGATTTTTAGGTATTCAGTAAGGTTTCAATTAGATTTTCGAGATATAAAATTTAAGTTACAAAAAGATATAATATCTAGACTACTATACCATATGACAAAAGTGGAAAAGTACAAATGATATTTTTGAACTTCAAGTGTCTTAGTTATCTTTACATATGCATACCCATTATCTTACAAAGTAATTATATGTACACAAGTACTATATATGTAAATACTATTTTCATGTATATATAAATCTTGAGAAAATCTTAGAAGAGCGAGATAGTACAATGTGTTTAAGTATCAAACTCATGCTAGCTAGCCTGCAGCTGCAGTGTTGGTCAACAAGTCTTTTTATTTTGTTTGCTTTGTCAAAGTATTTTCTTGGAACTTAAAACAGTTGTGCAGTGAGGACATGTATATAGTTCGTACTCTTCTTTCCTCCTTCATCTTAAGCAGATCAGATTATGTATTTTCCTTCCTTTTTTTGGCTTTCGCACCTTATGTTTTCCATTTCCTTTCTCTTTTTAAAATCTACGAGTCACTTCAACTATTATATATCCAGAATCATTTATGTATATCTGACAGTCTCAATTCCACCCCGTCTTTCAGTTAAAACCCAAAAGGTTTGAATACAAATAAAACTAGTTGTATTGTCTACAATATTCAGAGTATACAATAATGATGTTTTCTGTTGTCTCTATATATTTGTCTCTTTCCCAATGCCATACAAATAGTATATATAATTTTTCACTTAGAATATGATTACTTAAACGTTATTGCTTATGTTGTTCAAAAAAAGAAATTAATGCTATTGCTTTAAAAAAAGTTATTGCTTATTTTGCATTTACGCCTGTGTGTGCATTTTCTCATGTTTAATATAACAATCTATATACACGAATGCATCTTTGGACATCTGAATTACGATACGCAGTGATTAATGCATTAGTACGTATATAACTCAATGTTCTTGAGCTTGTTAAAGAAATTACTGAGTGAATTGGATGATTCTTTTGTGATAGCATAAGATCAACCATTGAGAGGTACAAGAAGGCTTCTGATAACACCAACACTCACTCTGTTCAAGAAATTAATGCAGCGGTTTTACTTTCTCTCCGTCTCTTTATACTTCATTATAACATCATATGTAGACACACATGCTTATATATTCATGATATAATGTGATGGGTGCTTAAATTACAGTACTATCAACAAGAATCTGCAAAGCTGAGGCAACAGATACAAACCATTCAAAATTCCAACAGGTTTTCTACCATTATTTACAGTTATTATTTATATATATATATATATATTGACTGTAACACTTTTTATATATATATATATATATTGCTGTAGGCATCTGATGGGAGATTCTTTGAGTGCCTTAAGTGTCAAGGAACTAAAACAAGTTGAGAATCGCCTTGAGAAAGCCATTTCCAGGATCAGGTCCAAGAAGGTACGTAGCTGCAACATCTCACAAGACTCTCATAAGCTTTCATTTGTATTTATATCATGTCAGTTTCCTGAATATTTTCTAAATATGCTTTGTGTACTTGCAAGAATAGCATGAGTTGCTTCTAGCTGAAATCGAGAACCTGCAGAAAAGGGTAAATAGATCTCAAATTAAAGTGTTGCTCTAAGTTTGTAAGTTAATATCACTTCAATATTTTTTTATGAAAAATCTTTGAACATGGTATACTACAGGAGATTGAGCTTGATAATGAGAGTATCTATCTCCGAACCAAGGTAAAAACATATATAATGCGTTTGTTTGTTCGAAAAACACATCAGTTAATCATCTATCCATCGTCAGAAAATTCTTCAGTATTGCTAATTAAAATGCTCTGATATCAGATAGCAGAAGTGGAGAGGTTTCAACAGCACCATCATCAAATGGTTACTGGTACAGAGATGTCAGCCATCGAGGTTTTGGCTTCTCGCAATTACTTTTCCCATAGCATAATGACTACTGGTTCTGGGTCTGGAGCTGTCCATGGATGTTCTTACTCTGATCCCGACAAGAAAATTCATCTTGGATAATCTCTTGAAGAGAAAAAAAAAAAAAACAAGCTGCAATAATGGCTATATGAAGCTCTCTACATAAACTATGTTTGGTGTTGTTATAATTCCAAGAAACAATGAAGTTATTGATCCTTCGAGACTCGTTGGAAACTTGTGTGTTGTGTAATAATGAAGACATACTTTGGTTTTATTGTGTCTTTATTGAATACATTATGGTATCTGATTTAGTGATTCATATGATATCGTAGAGCATAGCATATACACATGATTAAAGAACAGAGCATCTTTGTGTACGCTGCTGTCTGCGCAATCTAGCGGTTTCCATCTCAGCATTGTTGAGCTGTTCTCTCAGCCTCCTGATCTCATCAGAAGATAGCTTATGCATTTCAGTCATCTTTTTCTCGGTTTCTTGTCTCGCTGCTTGTGCCTTAGCTAGTTGCTCCTTCACATCATTCAGTGATTCTTTCAGCTGGTTAGCGATCTACAACAAAACCAATACATAGATGTAAACGTTCTATATTACTGATGAAATGAAGTGAATATTATATATACCTTCTCTTTTATCCCTTCGAGCATTTCGTTATAAGTTTTCTCCATTTCCTTCTTAACTTGTGATATCTCTTGTTTCGACTGACCCTTCATTGCTTGAATCTGCTTCTGTTTTTCCTCTAACGTGGCCTCGTTCTCCTGAAAATGGATATGAAGGTGTATCTTCTTGATCAGTTTTATTTAAACCAAAAGAAGACGAAATGTGGAATCTTGTTTTGTTAAAGAGTCTATCCTTTTCACCCTTAGCTCAAGTGACAAGTCAGCCATAAATGGCTTTCCGTTGTTCTTCTTTGAGATTTGCTCGACAAAGTTGAGAAGATCCTCGACTTGCTTCTCTTTCTTGCTTTTAGGGATATTACGCCTATTGTCAAACAACACCTTGCGGTCGTCACATTCTTTGAGAATTTCCTATAAAAAAACAATTCTTACACTTAATAAAGATTTGTTTTAAATGATAACCAAACAAAAGTAGCAAATTCATTTTCATTCTTTTAAACTTACACTATTTATCAATACCATTAAAAGGAGATGATTCCCTTTAATGAGATTTTTATGTTTTCCAAAATTACTTTTAATGACATGAACAAATTTTTATTTTCATTAATTAATAACAATATGGTATTTTGATTTTTAGACCTATAAACTATATAATTTGTACAAACAATATCTATCTAATGAGTTGCTTAATGGGCTAATCTCTTTCAAAATACTTTTGAATATTTTTGCAAAAATAATGTTCATCAATTTTAATACACGATTTTTTGCGCGTTTATAGAATTTTTATAACTAATTTTTCTTAAAACCAAACCGGATTACATATAAAGTCATCAGTTTTGTCGGTTTAAATACGTGTCCAAATTATGTTTCAGAACACTGAATATAACGATTTATGTGTAACATGTAAATGTTGATAAATAATCAAAAATATAATTTATATCATATAGATTTGGTTTGTTTCAAAAGATTTCCCGCACTTTGAACCAGTAGCCGAGTCTCAGGTTTTAGCGGAATTTTGGAGGTTTTATAGAATTTTTAAATAATGAGTTAAAAAAAAAAACAAAACGGTTTACATATAAAGTCATCGGTTTTGTTGGTTTAACAACGAGTCTAGGTTGTGTTTCATAACACTGAATATAATACTTCGTGTGTAATATTTAAATGCCACATTTAAATGTAAATACATATTCAAATATGCAAATTTATATCATATAAATTTGATTTGTTTTGAATATAATCCCGCGATTTGAAAGCGCAGATCAAAATCTAGTTATATGTTCCTTCTAATTCTTGTTCTTTTTAAAGAATTATAAAACAAAAGTTTTACTTATCAGATATGGGAATGAAGAGACATATATTCTATTTCTTTCCTATTATTTTGTTTCTATTCGTTCTTTCATTTTCATTCCTATTTTTTGTTAGTTACTCCGTCCGTTTCGAACTAATTGTCATTCTGGAGAAACAAATTCGTTTTAAAATAAGTGTCGTTTTCAAGTTTCAAGACAAAATTTATTAGTTTTATATGATATTATATTTTTCTATTGGTTGAGAAATGGTTAAGTGTATAGTTAATTGTGTTTTTTTTAAAAAAAATATGTAAAATTAAATGTTTTCTTAATCTGTGTGTAAAACGTAGAATGACAATTAAAATGAAACGTACTAGATAGAGTTGTAATTATGAAAAATATGTTGCATTAATCGATGATAAACGAACCTGAAACTCAGGACAATCCTCCAAATAGTAATCAAGAGTATCTCCATCATCGAATGCATCTCCATTGGTGAAAACCACAATCATGTAGTCAACAATCTGGCTTCCGAAAAGGATCTTTAATGTGCGAAGCGTTAATTGCTCCTCTTCTGTTAACCGGTTCCTCACAGAGAAAACCAGAATGACTGCATCTATGCCATCTTTAGCCAGACGTAAGCATCTCACGATTTCTTTGATGGTGAAATCTGGCGTCGAGGAAGCACTGAACAGACCTGAAAGCACCCCAGTAGTTAATCTAAATGTGCATTTTAAGACAATGTGGGATTTGACAATAGATAGTGTCACAAAACTCACCAGGAGTATCGATAACATTGATTCTCTGACCATTTGGTAGCTGAGAAGTATGTAGCTTACACTCTTTAGTTATGAATCTTCCTCTTGTTTTTGACAGGAACTTTGTTTCTCCTAGGATGCTATTTCCAGTTGCACTTTTACCATTCCCCGTCCGACCAAGCAGGACTAGAGTTCTTTCAGGTTTCCCATCAACCTCCACATTTACTTCATTTGATTCCCAAGACATTGTTTCCAATCTGCAAATTCCAAAAGACATGTGAATGGTTCTTGAAATGAAGAAAAAAAAAGACAAAGGAAACAAGAACACAAAGAGAAATTTATTACTAAATACATTTATGTATCTCGGTTCCCAACTGAGAAAGCAAAGCAAAATATCTTTTAATTTATAGAGGCAAAACGTTAGATTCATTCGACAAATGAAGAAAGGTAACCATAAAAGGAAGGAAAAAGAAAAGAATAACGGAGAGGTCTTTAAAGTAAGAATATGAAACAATAATGTTCTTAAAAGAATCTACGAGAAAGTAAACAAGCAAGGAATCTAAGAGAAAGATAACAATCTTTACCAATCTGATGGTCCAATGGCTCTGCTGTATTCTCTTTATTATACTTCTACCTTGAATGAAGAAAGAATGTAACATGTCAGGTAGGGACGAAGCCAGAACAAGTTTTCAGTGGGTGCAAAATATAATAAAGAACTAAGGGGGCATCGAACGTGAGACTTGAAGGGGGTGCACAGCACTAATAAACCATCTAATTTAGCTGATTACTTTGCATTTTTACATACAAAACATTTGATATTTAAAAAAATAACGGGTGCACATGCCACCATAGTCTTGAGACTCTTGACACTAGCTTCACCCCTGATGTCAGGTACACTCAAGGGAAGTAAGGAGGAGTTCCCTCACTACAAGAACACATGCAATTAATGACGACACACTTCGTAGTTATTCACCTATTAACGACGAAACGTTAATCATCATTAAAAATGCACCGTAGTGGACAATTTGATACAAACAAAAACTGACATTAATTCATCATGATAGGTTCTTGTCTCAGAGTTTGGTTGTATTTGTGTCATAATGTCTCGTCGTTATGCACTCGTAAAGCTTCGTCGTTATTTGGTTGTTAAACAGACTCAAACTTTACGACCAAGTAAAATCAACACTCGAAGTTAATAAAGTCAGAAAGATTATGATGAATTTACTTCGACTATTGATGTTAATTGGTCGTCAGATCGATTGTCGAATCTATTTTTTTTTTGTTTTAGAAATTTATAAATTTTAAACCGAAATCTAAAATACAAAAATGTTTAGACCAAAAATATTTAATATGTAAAATACTACGAATTGAAAATTAAACAAACATATACTACTTACGGTTAAGATCTTCATATAGCCCGGAACTATGGCCATCAGTGCGTCGATTCATTTCCGCATGCTCCTCTGCGGTGGATCCCCGGTGAACGGGTCTGGCCTCTAGTCTCCAGGTTCCCTGATGCGATGTCTCCAGGTTCCCTGATGCGATGACATCAAACATCCCCTCCATGGCTGCCAACCAAGAACTAGTGTCATGTTTTTTCTCCCGGAGCGACGACATTTGTTGGCCGCCATTAAATCCTCACGGAGCTCAGAATCTTATTGCCTCGCAGCAGCGTAGGCTGATGTAGCCCTCATGACATTTTTAACCAAACCAACGTCAATCATCTGTCCCTTTTTATAACCTTCAACTGACTTTAAATATTTAGTAAAATAGTAAATAAGATTAAAAATGTATGTATTTGAAAAGAAAACTATTATTTCTTCAAAAATCTTGTCCATTTCAGGCGTGGACAACTAGACAGGTGTACCATCTTGATTTTATGCATCAGTTGGGTTTGATGATTTTCAATCCGAGCCTCTACTTCCCTCCGGATCCTTTCTGATCTGGGATCCACAAAATTGTCGGCTCGCAGCTGGTGTGCCTCAAAATGTCATCAAACACATCGCCACTGGTGAAAGCAACAATCATATAGTCAACAATTTTACTCCAATAAAAGCACCACTAGTTAAATCTCAACGTCTATTTTAAGGAAATGTAGGTAGGGGTGGGCACAGATGGAATATCTTGATATTTGGAGGTACTCGTGATTCGATCGTTGCATCCGAATAATCAGTTATTCGATTAGATTCGATCCATTACCACCCAAATATTCGGTGTCCCGAATATCCGGAAAAAATTAGATTTTTAATCGGAAATCCGATTCGATCCGTAAATAAAATAAAAATTTTAAAATTAAACAAAAAATCCAAAATAATATAAAATAATAATATTTTGTTACAAACATAATCAATTTAATTTTATAAATCTAAGAACCAATATAATAAACTTAATATATAAAAATATTGTGAAATATCTATAAACGATAATAGTTATATAAATTATATATATACTTCTTTAAATATATGTACATATATATGTATATAACCAATCATATCGGATATATGTTCCTAAAAATATTAGTATTTATGATTTACTTTGCTTTGTAGAATTACGAATATCCAGATTTTTTTTTGGTTCGAATCAAAACGGATAACAAATCGAATAAAAATTTACGGATATTTTGCACAGCCCAAAATATAGGATTTGATAACAACATAAAAGAGTCACAAACTGAGCAGTAGTATCCATAACACTGAATTTCACACCATTCAGTATCTTGGATCCATCCTAACATTTTTTTGCAATATGTGTTCCCTTTCCCTTTGCAATACTAGGTGTGCTAAATTGGCTCAAAGAAGAAAATTTCCTTAAAAGAGCAACTCGAAGAGGTCTACGTTCATCTATTAAATTAGAGGTTTAATTGGTATGATACTTGGGTTATAAAAATGGAGAAAATGGTAATTTAAAAACCAAAATTTCACATATTTTTCAAAACAAATACAAACTTTTTATTAATCTAAATAAATCACAGAATTATTTTGACCAAGCCATATAAGATACACTTTCGGTTAACTATTTCCGTCGCCAAATTCCCATTTAGTGTTCACGGAAGTCCCTACATAGTCGTTTTATAAATATCACAGATTTACAAAATCCCCAAATTGATACTTCTAACTCTCCAAATCGAATTCACCTCTTATTCTCTTCTCTGCAATGTTCGTTCATCTCTTATTTCTCTTCTCCTGGGTCTTTAACAACAAATTTTTTCTTCCTTATATGATGAGAGGACAAAAGCTTTAGCTACTTCGAGGCAGAGCCAGAGAATGTGAACTCGTCTGGTTGTTGAAGGTGATGAAATAGGGTTGAATGAAATTGACGGAGACAAGCATGAACCTATATCGATGATGATTGTAAGACTTTTTATGTTTACTTTTTATTTCATTTGATTCTGGAAGATCACAAGTTTTCTCACAAGGTTATGTGTTTTATATAGGAAGGAGGATCGCACGGTTTTTGAAAAAGTGGATCACAAGTTGGCTCATGAGGTTAATAGTAATGGGATGGATATGTTACTTATTGCGATGTTATTCGGTTGTTGTTACTTTTTTGTTGTGGGATGGGTCATGTAGAATGCATATGTTTTCTCACCATATTGTAGGATGCATTTTGTTTGTAACTTATATAAGATACATCATCAAAATTTGTTGGTTTCTTTTTGTTTTATGCAAATGTGATTTTTTTCGTGTCTAATACTTCTTTGGTAAACAAATACAATGAAAATAGCATGGACAATGTCAAAGATACAAGAGCTCAATACGCAAACATATCTTACAGATGAAACGAAAATGTAAAATTTTAATGAAACGAAAATGTAAAATTTTAATAGAAACAGTCTTACAAAAGAGACAAAAAAAAGCCTTAAACATTCTGAAAAAGTCTTGAACAAAGATACAAGAGCTTAAGAGATGAGATACACAATTGTGATTGCAACGAACATAAAACAAAAGAATCGATAACATGTCTCAGTAATGATTTTTCACTTTGTCATCTAAAATTTTGTTGAAATGACATCCTCCATTAAGCACCAGTCACCTTCTCCAAGCAATCAACTTTACCATTCATATTGTAAATCTCAAATCGACGTTCTCAAGTTTTGGAAGTGAATCTTCAACCTCGTCAAGCTTTTCAAAATCATGTTTCCAAATGTTCTTTCTCTTGATTCTAGCTTGTAATAGTTATGTAGGAGAAGAGTATACTAAGAAGAAGAATTAAAATCAAGTTGCAGAGAGACAAGAAGATATGAAATTTATTTTCAGAGAAGAAAATCAGAGGTGAAATTGAATTGGGGGTTCGGGTTCTAAGAGTCGGTTTGGGACTTATAAATCTGTTCTGTTTTTTTCAAAGGACACTGCTTAAGCCTCCGTAAGCACGAAACGGAAGTTTGACGACAAAAATAGTTGACTAAAAGTAAGGGTGGACATTTCGGCTTAATTATGGATTCATTTTGTTTGGTTTATTTTGGGTATAAGAAAACTATAACTAAAGTCAACCCAAATGAGTATGGTTTGGTTTGTGTTTGATTTGGTTCAGTTCGGTAAGTGTTTGATTTGGTTTGTGTTTAGTTCAGTTTAATTTAGTTTTGTTTGTATTAGTTCAGTTCAATTGAATTGATGTTTTACTTTTGTTTTAGTTCAGTTACAAAAATATAATTTATAAAAGCATAACAAATCATTACCTGACACTAAAAATTATTTTCATCATATTTAAACATAAAAAAAAACATCACAAAAAATATAGAAGACATAATCCAATAATTGATTATTATTATCTTCAAATCAAATAAATAGCATAAGTAATGTATGAGATTCATATTCTATTATTTAATTTTATTTTTAGTTAATGTTTATTCTACTCATATAAAAGTAAAACTTTTAAAATTATCTTTAGTTGTTTAGGTTAAAAAAATAAATATATTAAATTTTAATGTTATTAATATATTTTATTAATCTAAAAAAAACTTCAGTTTTTTGGTTTGGTTTGGTTTAAAACCAAACCAAATAATTTGAATAGATAAAATATTGAACCAAATGGTTTAGACATATGTTTTGTTTGAGCCGGTTTGGCTTTGTTCGGTTTTTTTTCACCCCTTACCAAAAGTATATCTTGTATGGCTTGGTCAACGTAAGTTTATGGTTTATTTGGATTAAGGAAAAGTTGGTATTTTTTTGGAAAATTTGTAAAATTTTGGTATTTAAATGATGAGTTTAACATTGGAAGACAGTTTATGTGTTCTTATAACATGAAAGA